GGGGGGGGGGGGGGGGGGAGGGGATCCCTGAGGATGTCCCTGGGCGCGGCGTTTAGGATGTGCATACCTGGGCGGAGAGGGCGGGGCCGGGGGCAAGCGGTGAGGGCCTCGCCGCCGGCCCGATTTCCGACGGGGCCCCTCGCCGGGCGCACATTTTAAAAGAGCATTGGGCGCCGGCGCGTGCGGACGCCGGCGCCCGGGCCGCGCGAGGTGCGCTCTTCTCGCGGTCCAGACACCCGCGGCCGGTTGTTGCTGTTGTTGTTGTTGTTGTTGTTGGGGCGCGGCATGTGCCAAGGACGTCGCCGATGTCCGCGGCGCCCGGCGCGTCGCCATCTGGCGCTGGTATGCGTGCCCATGGATGCGGAATGATGGCCGGCGGGGGCCCCGCCGGATGGGGCGTCGCGAAGGGCGCCCTGCCCACGCCCTCCGACGCCCGCGACGCGGTCGATCGAGGCCTTTTCTCTCTCTCCCTCTCTCTCTCTCCCTCCCCGTCTCGGGGATATGCCCCACGCGCGTGTGTGTGCCCGCGCGTCAAGCGTCTCCGCAAGGCCGCATGTGCGTGTGCAGGGATGTCCCGCCTGCCCGTCGCCCCAGGTGCCCCGGCCCGACACACCTTGCCGCTGTCGGAGGGCAGACGTGCGCGTGAGAACCGCCGCGTACCACGGGGGGCCGGGGGCCTGGCCGCCTCCGGGGAATTGCACCGCCGGCCTTCGGCCGCACGTCCGCGGTCTGGGTGTATGCCGGCGAGGCGTCGGGCGTGACGGGGGCGGGGCCCTCGATGCGGGGCGCCCCGCGCTTGTTCCCCGCCCCCCCGGGCCCGGTCGCCGGCGAGATGAATCACCCTGCCCCGGGCCCGGCTCCGGGCAGCTCGCAGGCAGGGTGTTGGCGTGTGCGGCCTGGTGCGCCGGTTGTCAATGCCCCGGGGGTAAACACGCCTTGCCACACGGCGCGCGGCCCTCGTGTGTTCCTGCTATGCTCGGCGCGTGCGGGCCCGCACGCGGACGCATTTGCATTGATACATTTGAAGACGAGGACGGGCGCGCAACGGGCCGGCCGTGTGCCCCCCCCCCCTGCCTGCGCTCCCAGGCGTCCGGCAATGGTGGCCTCCCGGCAACACAACATGCCCACGCCCGCCGGCGGGCCGGGCGCGCTGTCCCTAGCCTCTCTTCTGCTCTCTTGTACCCCCGCCCCCGCCCCCGCCCCCGGCCCCCCTGCCGACGCACAC